TGGCAACCATTTAGCAGTGGTGTTTGCACTGCAGGATCCTCATAAACAGCAAGTGTAGATTCAGTATATAGCCAGTGTTTAATCTAATAATGTTCTTTTCTTTTTATATCCTTCAAAAATGCATGTTGTCCCCTCTTCATGCACGTGATGTCATTGTCTCTTTGCCAACTTTTCAGGAGCCTGCAGCCATCAGTTTTGGGGCCTCAAAAAGGTGCAGTTTGGTCTCTCCTTTATTTGCAATGTGGATGAGTTTTAAGTGGTTTTTTGTTTGTTTTTTTTTTAAACAAACTTTTTATCCTTCTTTATCTCAAAGCCTAATAACTTACTACCTACTTTTGTGTCACAGAGCTAAGAGTTTATCGCAATCCCAAAAGACATTGGCTATATAGGACTTTCTAGAATATCAGGGATATTACAAAAAAAAATTTGGAAGGGATATTAAATCTCAGGCTTTAATACTTAAGAGATTTGCTGTTAGAGAATAGGCTATTAGAGGACCTATGGATAAGTTATACTTTGCCAATCACTAGAGATTCCTGTATTTTCCTTAGAAACAGCTAGTAGCAGTCACTCTTTGAAATGGATTGCTGAGACAGATAAACTCCCAGTTTTATCATGTAGGGTAATTCTCCCCTGGCTCTAGGCCAAAGGATTGTATGGATTCTAAGAAACATGGTTGTATGCTCAAGTTTGTGGAGATTAATTATTTCTGTAGCCTTTAAGTTAAGCAACCAGCTTTAAAGGAATCTTTACAAATACATATCCGCTGATTAAAACAGACAAAAAGCCTTTATCGGTAAGTGATTTGCAAACTGGTTGCATGCCTGAGTTCTGGGTCTGGAGACAACTAACTCTGCTTTTGCCATCTAAAATAAAATACTGCTCTGCACTGAATTATCTTTTGCCAGTTGCTGTTATATTTCAGGCCTGAAATAATTCTTCCTCTTAGTGCAAATTCCTGTTTCAGTCATTGCAAGCTGACACTGTGCATAGTAGTGTATAGCAGACTGAAGAAACCCCCTTTTTACTTAATTTCACTGTAATTCATGTTTTTTCCATGTCATTTGTGCCATTTCATGCCAGTAATTTTACTGTTTTACTTTCTTCAGGGCAATTCTTGCTCACAGTTGATACCCATTTCCTAGGACTACCTTAGAGTTTTAAATATTCAGTCATTCTCTTGTGACCTAGTGATTTTCTTCCCCATAATTTTTGACATCATTCATGTGCTCAAGACATGAAGAAATCATCCTTCAACACTAAAAACTACATGTAGTGACGGGGGAATTCAGGTTTTCAGATTTTTCAGATTTGTATCACCAGCTGGGGGGAGGGGAAAAAAAAACTGCCAAGGCAGGCAAGTACTGTTTCATATTAACATCTATCGTCAATGAAGAGGTAAAAATCAAAGCCCCTGTGTGTGAGGCAGGGTTAGTGAACTGCCAGTGATTCTCCCAGCAACTGACACAAAGGAATCTGTGAGTATCAAAGCTGAGGCAGCAAGCTTAGTGTCAGCTCTTGCCTAGGGAGTAGAAGAAAACATCACTTTGTCTCTGCTTTCACTGCTTAAACACACACATCATTCACTAGTAACCATTTACTCTGCTGTCAAAACTGTTTCAAGAGAGTGCTACATTTGATTAATAGTAAAATGCATGCAAAAGAAAAAAAAAAGTCTGCTTCCCCCGAGGTACTTAGTTGGGGAGAATTTCTGCATGCACTTCTTAATTTTTCCATGCTATAAATATGCCTGTAATGTTCCAGAAGTGCTCTGTTGCTTCTAGTAAAGTCATTTTTATTAGAGAGCCTGGTGCACTCATCCTAATTCTAGTTAATGCTCTCTCTCAGTGAAGCACATTATGGCATCCTCAGCCTCTTGTACTAACAAAAAAGTGACCAGCACTACCATGTGTGCAGTACATGATTCATAGTGCTGCTTTCTGAATTGTCCAGTGGGTAATTGCAGTACAAAAACCAGAGAAACAGATGTAGACCCTAAACCTTGGCTGTAAATTTTTGTTTTATGATTATGGGTTTCAAATGTGCTATGTCACACTGACAAATATACAGTAACACCAGAGGAAATAGATTTCTGACTTGAACTTGTGCTTTTTATTTCATTTATAGCTAAGAATATGTTTATTGTAAAGTTTCTGCTATCACAATCTGAGAGAAAACAGATCAAAGCACTGATGTGAAACCACAATTTCTTTGCACGGACAAAGTCAAAGATATTGGAGAGTTGTTGCCTCCTTGCACCTCTGTGGGTGCTGGGTAGGCATTTAAAATATGTGGCAATACTTAAGCTTTTGTTGCATTTGAACCAGAGGATTATTAGTTAGCACAATAATTATGATTAGTTCTGATCTAAATTAGAAAATGCTCCCCCTTTTATGAATGTAGCTTTTCCTGATACTCTGTTAAAGAAAAACAAGTGTTGTGCTATTCCAAAGTGGAATAAGAGATGCATTGGTTACTGCGTTGTAGAAAATAGTGTGTGAGCAAACCATTAGGCTATTTGAGGATTTTTTTAATTACGTGTCCACTTAGTAATAAATATAAGCATTAGTGCAACTATTATTTGTAACACAGCATGATGAGCTACCTGGCTTATTTTGATACAGTGAGAAAAAACAGTCTTTTTCCAATTCAGACACACTTAAGTGTCACTTCCCGACATTTACTTTCAGAAGTTGCCACTCTACATTTTGAGGTACAACCGACAGATATTATTTTTGAATATGGTATTATAAGACTGCTAATGGGATAAACATAACTGTGTTTCTGTTTGTCTGATTCTGTTTACTTTTAACTCACAAATGCAACATGTTTTTCTTGGCATAAGCTTAAACTGTTCCAAGAACTCTGGTCCACAGAAAAAGCTGTTTTCTCCCTAAATTGGAGACTGAAAAAAACATACTGTGTTTTGTGTCATCCTTTCCAGTTATTTTTGTGGTGATACATTACGTATTCCAAATTTCTTGTGCATCCTGTGTCGTCTGGTTAGAAAATAACTGTCTGCTAATTTAGCTTTGCTATTCCAAACAAAACTGTAGCAATGTAGCCAAAAAAAAAAAAAAAAAAAAAAAAAGTTTAGCCACTTTTCCACTTGGCTATTTTAATGCAACAAACACTGTTTTGCAGTGCTGAATAGTTTAAACAAGCCTTCCCTGAAGGATGGCTTTTTTAGTAAGCGTATGCTGTGCATAAATTTTAGATTAGAGAGTGTCAGGGGCTTCTTCAACTGCAGGAGTTCAGGCTGGGGGAGGACACCCCAAAGGGCTGAAAAAGTCCTTTAAAAGTCCTTTAAAAAGACGCTGTTAAACTCCAGCATTTGTAACTCTTCTGCCTGAAGGGAAGAGGGAAAGAGAGGCTGCCTGCTGCAGGGACAACTACAGCTCTCCCGTTGAGGGGGGAAGGAGGCTAAGAAAAGCTTTTGTTTTAATCTCTTCAAAAGGATTCGCTTCCAGATTGCAGCAGGTCTTTTTGCTGGCCGCTGGTTTTCAATGTGGGTATATCAGTTTCAGGGAACAAGTGCTTGTGCTGTGTGGGGGATTTGTTTTGTGGTTTGGGGTTTTTTTGTAAATTCTTGAATCTGTGTGAAAAGTTTTGTTAATACAATCTGCAGGCATTGTCAGAGAGCTTTCGGTTCATCAAAGGACTTTTTGTGGAGAGGGGACACCACATCCATTAAAGTGGCTGCGCAGGTCCCAGGGTGAGTCTCTCTCCAGCATTTCTTTACAGTCGCCAGTGGTGTGCCATGCCTGCTCAGTGTGCCCCTCTCTGCCCAGCTCCTGTCTAGGGCTTTGCAAGAAATCAAGTGTTTATTTTCTAGTTTCTGCACCTGAGCTTGCTTTGGAGCGGGGAAGCAAGGCTCCTCTGTGCCTTGCTCCTGGATGATGCTCACTGCTGGGGCTGAGGTGGCTTGGCTTATTCATTTAAAATTAAAGCTTGCATGTGGCTATTGAGCTCATGTCCTTCCCACTGGGGCAGAGGGAGTGTTTCCAGGCTGTTGTTTTTAATTTTTAAATTGTCCATAGGAATAAGAACTGGTGGAATCCTCCATAGAGTCTTTGTTGGTGAGAAAGATTTTGGAGAAGGTAGTCACCTACCCAAAACACACCGAGCTCTCTCTGCTGGCTTCATGCGAGTGGTGGGCCCGCACAGTTCTGCTGTGGCATCGTGGCCACAGCCTTGGGAAGCCTTTGACACCTAGTCCGGCCGTGAGGGAGGGCTGTCGGCGGCGTGGTTTAGCACAGACCATAGTGGCTGGGAGCAGCCCCTCGCCTTCAGAGCGGCTGTGAGGGCTTGGCCGGGGCCGCCTGCCCCAGGGAGGCCTCCCCGCTCAGCGCCATGGGCTGGGCCCAGCTCCCCGTGGATTAGCTCGTGGCCTTTCTCCCCTCCCGGGGAGCTGGGGCTCATTAGCCCTCTGAAAGCCGATACAGCCCCTCCGGGGCTACACGAGCGGCCCCAGCCCCTCTCTGCTAATCAGAGACAGGCAGGACCCGGCGGCGGCGGGGCTGGGGAGGGACAGGAGGGATGCGTGGCTGCTTCCTGCCCTGGGCTCAATCGTGGGGACAGCCCCTCCCGGGCAGTGCCAAATCTGACCCATCGGGGAAGCCAGGGAGCGCTGGGTGGCTTAGGAGCCGGGTGAGGGATGCATGGTGCGGAGAGATGGGGCCTGATGGCCCCCGCCCAGGAGGGACAGGCCCCTGCGATTCCCCGCTGGGAGCGGGGCTGGCACCGGCCGCAGTCCCTGCGAGTGGTATTGAGCGGGGTCCCCGCGGGTGGCATGGAGCGGGGTCCCCGCTGGCGTGTGCCGGGCAGCGCCGGGATCAGGCTGCTCCCAAGCCCAGCAGCTGGGGCGAAGCCCGTGTCCCTGGCTCTGGAACAGCGGCAGCGCCTGCGCCTCGCTCGCGGCCTCTCCGGGGAGGAAAGGAATGTGTGTGTGTGTGTGTGTGTGTGAGGGAGGGAGGGGGGCACAGAACTTTCAGCAAATTGTGCTGGAATTTTCAAATTCTCCGTTCCCTCCGACCGCTGAAAACGCCGCTTTTTTACTTCCCACCCCCTTCCCCTCCTCCTCGTTGTGGTGTTTGGCTTTTTTTTTTTTTTAATATTATTTTTAAATTAGTTTATTATTTTGGATCTTTTTGTAATTTGCGCTCCCCGTCCGCACCCGCCCGCTCGGCGGCCGCGGGGCGACTCCGGCAGGGCTGGGGCTCGCCTTTGCCTGCCCGCCCGCCTGCCTGGCTTTTTTGCAGGGCTGCTGGGAGTTGTGAAGGCGTGTGAGAATCCTGGGAGCTGGTGATGTCAGACCGCTTGGGTCATTTGAAGGTTAGCAGCCTGGGAAGGGTTCACGGAAAGTTCACTCGCATATATTAGGCAATTCAATCTTTCATTCCCTGTGACACAAGTAGTAGGAAGTGAGCTGTTCAGAGGCAGAAGCATCTATTCACGGCCGAGGGGGATCCCGAGCCTCCACCGGAGCTGTTTTATCCCGGGGAGGTGGGCGATTGGCACGGCGTGGGACGCAGCACACACCCAGCGAGCGCCTCAGGAGCTGGACTGACTCTCAAGAAATTTTGGGGGGAAATTGATGGTAGCTAAAACTTGGAATGCGGCTCGCATCCCCCCATCTTGCTGGATTGGCTGGGCAGCCTGGAAAATGGTAAATGATCATTTGGATCAATTACAGGCTTTTAGCTGTGTTGTCTGTCATAATTCATGATTCTGGTCTGGGAAAAAGACCAACAGCCTACGTGCCAAAAAAGGGGCAGAGTTTGATGGAGTTGGGTGTACTTTTATGTGCCATTTTCCTCCACACCTAGAGGAAAGCACTTTTGCAGGCATTCTGTGCAGGGGGAATCATGTTTGACTGTATGGACGTTCTAGCAGTGAGCCCTGCTCAGATGCTGGATTTCTACACTGCGAGTCCGTCTTCCTGCATGCTCCAGGAGAAGGCTCTCAAAGCATGCTTCAGTGGATTGGCACAAACAGAGTGGCAACACCGGCACAGTGCTCAATGTAGGTCCCAACTGTTATTTTTCCACTTTAAAGCAATTACTATTATTATAATTGTTGTTGTTGTTATTTATTTAATTTATTTACTTGCATGTATTTAAAAAAAGAAAGACCGGTAATTAAGTGCAGAGGTAATGAGGGGTGGGGTGAGTTTTTGTGCAAAATGTGGTTTGCAAGCTTTTTTTCCTTTTGGCAAGAAAGGAAGGAGGAAAGAAGCACCGGACCTCTTTCTGTTTATCCCTTCTCATGTAGCATATTGATCCTAACAACAGTTGTGTAGCCAAACAGGAACACATAAAATCGTAATGTAATACAGCAAATACTTGCAAAACTCCAACCGGTGAAAGACAAATTTACATAACATCTCTGTGGTAGCTTCCCCCCCCCCCCCCCCCCCCCCTTAATCTAATTTTGTAGCACATTTGCTAATCAGGATGCATGTTGTCTTGAAGTGCATTTTAGCAGAGCAGCCAAGCAATTAAAATGTTGATCTCTACAGTTCTTGCAAAAATGTGGAATTGCAGTGGTTAGGTTGTCGTTCCAAAAATCAGACAGTAGTTATAAGTTTCCGAAGAAAAAGCAATATTTCTTTGTACTGACCTTGCTGCCACCTTTCTTCTTCACTTTGTTGCTCTAAGAAGTTGCTGTTTTGCTAGAAAACTACTTACTGTGAACACCCTTTGAGTTTAACCATCAATTATTTCTATACCTTGAGATTCAGACAGCGATGCACTGTTAACAGAAGAGTGAGAGTTAGTGGTAGGACACTTCTGAAAATGTGTTACCATGTTATAGGGTCTTGATTTGTTGCTGAAATATATAGATGATAAACAATAGCAGTATTTTAACACCCCAGTTTCAAGTTTGAGAAATGACAAAAAGTGCCAGAAAACATCACCTTATACTATGCTTAAGAGCTTGCAGGATGCTTCGCTGCTCTGACAGTGATTTAGATAAATGACTTGGCTATCTATCAAAATGTTTTTAGCACGCTCTCGAACACTTCAGTACACCATTAACTGTATAATGCTGTTGGAAATTTCTGTTTTGCGGTATGTTAAAAAGTTAACTAGGAATTAGAAGAGTTTCCCTTCAACATTTCAAAGGGGTGGAGTAGGTAATTGAAAAATAAATTTAAGAGTGTTTGGTGAAATAGGGTGTTTCACTCGGCTCAAAAGTTTTCAGACACCATATGACATTTGTGTGGGTTGAGTAATGAAAACAGAATTGTAAAAATCAGTGACTAGCAGCCTACAACATACAAATGTTTTGATGTTTTTACAATTAAAAGGAGACTGCAAAGTTCAGCATGGGATATTTATTTTTTTCCGCACTGTTCTCAAAATGCTTCAAACAAAACATGAAACAAAACTTTTACTGAAAAATAGTGTTACTAGCTATAGGAGAGCTTCAGTTAGCAAAAACAAAAATCCAAACCAGATGTTTTATTAAAAATGTGTTTTCCTCCTTTCATGGTTTAAACTTCAGTATAACTTTAGTGGTGATATTGCGGAAACTTGGAATTAAATAAACTTTCCTGGAGTAGGAGGCATATATACTGCCATTAAAAGCTTACACTTGCAAAATATTCTTTAAATAACTCCTGGCTTTAAAATGTCCTGCTCTTTCTCTTGTATGTTGTTAATACCTAGAAGCAGGATTCTTAAAAACAAAATATATGGTGTTTGTTCTTGGGCAAGTTAAACACAGGATTACCCTTATCAGAATGGAATGAGTGGTAAATATGTCATTTGCCTAGGGCCTGTGATAAGAGACAAGTGTTGATAACAGGAAAGTTTAGCTAATCAAAGAAACTCATATTAACAAGAGTAAATAAAAATACAGGAAAATGCATTCAGGAATCCAGTCTTGTAACTTCGTAAGCAGTAGGATTAATCTTCACTTCATGGGAATTTAAAATCGGGTCGAAACCTGAATCATAGTACAGTGGCTATAATTTGAACTGTGAAAGTTAATGGTATAGAAATGTGGAAAAATAGTTAGAGTCCAAATTAGGATTTCTGTTTCAAACCTTAGAGCAAATTTTGTTTTCAGTTTTGAAGAAAGTGTAAGCAGTTTATGCATGAGTAAATATATAAATGGATTATGAAATACTAAAATTCTCACAAAGGTTAAGATTTTTGTCTTGCATCTTGTGAAAATGTGACAGAACTAGAAATTTTGTGGTCCAGAAAGCTTTTAATAGTTTAAAGGTTGCTCCACTGCATATAAATACAAAGATAGCAATGTTCAATTCTAACTCTAGCATTTCCTGATTCTCCATTTTTGCGAAGACCTCTGTGATTTGATGTAATATAATAATAATCAAATTTGGTAATTGTTAGAAGTGATAGGGTTTTTTTGGTCCAATTTGTTGTTTAATTTTTGGCTCTGCAAAAAAAAAATAAATCCAGGCCAGTACACCTGCAGCCATTGCCTTAGGCCTTAGAAATATTGCTTTGATAGAGATGTGATTGTAGAGTAAAAGGTAAATGGTTGTTGAGGGAATAGTACATGGGTAGTGCAAACTCAGAGCAGGCCAGTAACAATCCCAGACAGCATCAGGGTTTCAGCTGAAATGCTGGCAAAATTGGCCATTGCAGGCTTTAGGGCAGAATGCTGTAGGTCTCCAACTTCAGCACATCTTCCGTGCATTAATCCTGTTACAATTCACTAAGCTAGTGCACTCCTGCAGATTCATGAATTTTCTAGTCCATGAGGGTCTGCAAAGTAAAAATAGAGGATAAGACACAACCCTAACATGACCTTAACTTGTGTGGTATTTTTTTCCTCTCCCCTGTGGGAAGAAAAACCTGCCCTGAGTTTGCAACGCAACTGTTAGCCACTGCGTATTGCACGGTTTGTTACAAGAATACAAAAAACCCCCCTGACTTTGCACTTATATGAGTTTATGCTTTATATGATTCTAGTTAGATTGTTGTAGATTTAAAATGAGATTATTTGTTTGCAAACAAAATCCTAGACTCAGAAATGAGGCTAGAACCGAATGCACTTTTAATCGTAATTCGTTCTCACGCCTTTTGTCATAAGATAAAAATCAGGTTGGTATAATTAAATTAGACTAGGATAGTTCTTAAGAGGACAAAAGAACTAAGATTGCAAGAATGAGTAATTTATAGTTTCTTAAGTAAATTAGAATATTCTGCTCCCTCATTGTGCAATGGCAGCAAATACTGAGAGAAAACCAATAACTTTTGGTGAAACATGAGCTAACTAAATACTGTGGAAGTGGGAACAGGACAGATCCTGAGAGAGAAGCTGCAAAGAATGGAGATCTGACCTTGGAAAAGCCTATTAAAAAAGTCTTCATTAGTCTTCATTAATTAAACAGGCAAAAAAACAAATGAGCAGGCCCAAAACAAGAGTAAGTTTGTTTGGCATTATGTAGTGTTTCAGCTAATTACATCAAGTAGATGACTACTGCCTACTGCATTTCCTTGGAGTTAGAAATGTAAAAAATATGATTAAGTCAAAAGTTATAGACATGGCAGCAGAACATGCTGGGATGTAGAGGCTCACATATATATATCTCTATACAGTTCTTATTTCAGTTTGGTAGGAAGTGTTTGCCTGGAGAGGAGCTAGCGGGTATGAACTTTCAGAAAGTTCCTGAAGATGGGACTCCCGAAAGCATGCGTTCTCCTTCAAAATTCTGGATTATTGCGATGTTTGGGTTAGGTTCCCATTCCCTGCAAGCACTGGAAACATCTGTGTTCCACAAAAAAAAAAAAAGAAAAAAGCTCACTACTTTATTTTCTTTCATCTTTCTGAATTAAAAAACAAACATTTTGAAGTGAAGGATTTGTAATCTACATTCCCAAGTATCAAATTGCTGCAGGTGTGTTTGCTAGTGCCCAGAAGGCAAGATCTGTTTGAACCAGGTTATTTTCTTTGAAGTTCATCTATAAACTTTACAGCTAAATGGCTAGGACTGATTTGCTTAGGGATAGAGTCTTTGTTTAAATTTTTATATGTCTAGGTTAATACTCTGAAATATGTGATGAAAAAAATGTTTGTTTCTGATCCACTTAATTTAAAAAAAATTGTGTGAGGGTATTTTTCTTCCAAAATAACTGAAGGGGGAAAACTATTCTCTACGTGGACTGTGATGCAGTTAGTCTGATTCGGCTGCTGGCACAGGAAAACCCTAATGGACACGCACCACTGTCAAAAACTCCTGCAGACAAAAATGATGAGAGGCTTTCGCTGGCGAAGCCAGGGTGGGATAAGCTTGGAGGAAAAGCAATGTATCTTTGGGTGACTCCCTGCTTGCCTAATGAGTCTGTGCAGGAAAGGTGCAACTTGTCAGAACAAAGCCAGGCTTCTGAGGCGATGCCTTGAAGAGGGTTACGGTGAAGTTAAGGAGTTGAAAGAGGGAGATAGTGTTTCAGACAGCGAAGTTAGTCATCCTCACATCCAGTTAAATCCCTACTTACTGCTGAGCGGTTTTTGTTAACCATGTGTGCGTCACGCCAGCTCCGCAGCCCGGCCAAGCCGAGGGGCTTTGCTCGGGGGAGCGAGGCGCCCTGCTCGGCGGATTACGGTCCCACCTCCCCGAAACACGCCAAGTGACTGGTTTTGCTCAGGTCTAATTTATATACCGCCCTTTACGCAGCCGATGAAGTGCGGCTGTGTTACACAGCCAGCATTTAGATTTGGGAGCGGGGCTGTGAAAGGGACATTGTGCTCGGAAGGACTGCTGTCTGCCGCGGTCGGCCGCGCTATGCCCCGTCCTATTGAGACCTCAAAAGCAGAGCACAGCTGTGATGAGTTTCCAGATCTGTTTGGCCGTGGGGACCGGCCCTGGTATGCGTGCGAGCCGGGGGGGAACATCCCTCTCCTGCCTGGGGGGCTGGCAGCAGCTTCTGAGCACTGAATTTACAGGGGCGGGCGGCTGGGGCCAAATTAGTTGTGGTTTCGGAGGGCTTTCCAGAGCTTTGCTAGGCTGTAGCACGCAGCCCCATGAGGAAGGATATCAGTTG